TTGGTGACCGTGGCCATTGCTGCTATAAACATTGGGGTACAGATGGCCCTTCTTTTCACTACATCTGTATCTTTGGGGGAAATACCCAGTAGTGCAATTGCAGGGTCATAGGGAAGCTCTATTTTTAATTTCTTAAGGAATCTCCACACTGTTCTCCAAAGTGGCTGCACCAACTTGCATTCCCACCAACAGTGTGAGAGGGTTCCCCTTTCTCCACATCCTCTCCAACACACGTTGTTTCCTGTCTTGCTAATTTTGGCCATTCTAACTGGTGTAAGGTTAGTATCTTGAGAATTTTTACATCCATCTCGGGGATATTGGTATATAATTCTCATTTTTACTGTGGTCTTTGTCTGATTTTAGTATCATGGTAATGCTGACCTTATAAAATGAGTTTAGAAGTTTTTCTTCCATTTTTGTTTTTTGGAACAGTTTCAGAAGGTAGGTAATAATTCTTTAAATGTTTGGTAGTTGGGGCACCTGGGTGGCTCAGTAAGTTAAGCCGCTGCCTTCGGCTCAGGTCATGATCCCAGGGTCCTGGGATCGAGTCCTGCATCAGGCTCTCTGCTCAGCGGGGAGCCTGCTTCTCCCTGCCCCCCCACCTGCCTCTTTGCCTACTTGTGATCTCTGTCTGTCAAATAAATAAATAATAAATGTTTGGTAGAATTACCTGGAAACTATCCAGCCCTAGATTCTTGTTTATTGGGAGACTTTTGATTACTGATTCAATTTCATTGTTGCTTATGGATCTATCCTACAACTCAGCAATCACACTACTAAGGATTTATCCAAATGATACAAATACAGTGATTTGAAGGGGCACATGAACCTCAATATTTATTGCAGTAATTTCAGCAATAGTCAAGACATAGAAGAGCCCAAATGTCCATTTACTGATGAATGGATGAAGAAGATGTGGTACATATATACAATGGAGCATTACTCAGCCATCAGAAGGATGAAATCTTGCCATTTGAGACAATGTGTTTGGAACTACAGTGTATTACGCTAAGTGAAATAAGTCAGTCAGAAAAAAACAAATACCATATGATTTCATTTATATGTAAAATCTAAGAAACAAAACTGATGAACATAGGGGAAGGAAGGGAAAAATAAGATAAAAACAGAAAGAAAAGCAAAACATAAGAGACTCGACTATAGAGAACTGAGGGTTGCTAGAGGGGATGTGGGTGGGGAAATGGGGTAACGGGGTGATGGGCATTAAGGAGGACATATCATGTAATGAGCACTGGGTGTTATACACAACTAATGAATCACTAAATACTACCCCTCATACTAATAATGTACTGTATGTTAAATAGCTGGAATTTAAATAAAATGTAAAAATAAATAAATAAAAGTACTGGTGGTAAAGATGTGAACACATTTGGGAGGTCTTATTCTGCCTACTACAAAGTCTTTTTCAAAAGTGCATTATTTTGGTCATTTATGAAAGCAATAAACAGAGTTTACAAACTCACTCCTGAAGAATGAGTGAATACCTGGTTTCCTCAAAGTTTCATGCTATGACAATATTGGTGCAGAACTCTTAAATCTCCCTACACCTAACTCTAACACAGGATCACAGCTTTGCTAATCAAAGACTTGTCCACACACCAGGACCTGCATATCAACACCATCCAAGAGTTTGCTACAAAGGCAGAATCTCTGGGCCACCCAGGACCTGTGATTAGATTCTGCATTTATAGTGGGACCTGTGTGGATTCACAGACACATTGAAGTTGGAGAGATGCTGGTCTAGATTAATTTCTCATGTGTTATGGTTGACGTTTGTGGTAGGATAATATTTTGGGGGTGCTTTCCTTTGGATTGTAGGTGTTCAGCAGCATCCATTCAGAGATCACCAGACATCCCCAGGGTCAAATTATTTCATGGCTGAAACCAATGCCACAGAGCTTGAGAACTAGAAACAACCTGACAGAATGACACTCGAGGCCCACCACATAGTCATATATTCAGTGTGGACAGATCATCAGCTAGCAACAAGCACCATGTCTACAATTAAGATTGGAATACATAAATGTACTTCCTTGGGAATAAAATGTTTATATAAGTAAATCAAACAGTCCCTATGAGATGCAAGCTCATGTTATAGAACACAAAAATATCTAAACACATCTGTTATAACTATCAACCATTTTATGACAAAGGAGCATGTGATAGCTCTTACCTTGTATAAAGTAATGCCTAATTGTAATGGCAAATGTGTTTTTTTTTATCCAATGTGTGTGATGGCCAAGGTTTATTATCAGAAGAACCCTCTTCAGTTTTGAAGGGGCCGGGGGTAGGAGGTGGGGGAGCCAGGTGGTGGGTATTACAGAGGGCATGTACTGCATGGAGCACTGGGTGTGGTGCATAAACAATGAATTCTGTTATGCTGAAAAGAAATTAAAAAAATTTTAAAAGAAAGAAGAAGAACCCTGTTCTCTGCCTTAGAAAAGAAGAATAGACTCTGTCTGGAGACAGCAGAGCTGGGTCCACACCACATGTTAATTCTTTGATGATAAAATGTTCTAATCCAGGTGGGTTACTAGGTCTTAGATTTGAAGAAAATTATAACTTGGAGTTAAGATAAGATGCTAGGAAACTCACACATCAAAAGAGGGGCAAGTTCAGAAAAAGGGAGTAAAAGAAACTTAAAAATTACCAAAAACCGGCTTCACTTGACCTCTAACCCTGTCTTTTGGGAATTGAGATCCATTAGGAAAACATCCTTTCTGTCCAGAGGACTTTTCCACTTGGGAATCGTGTGCTTAGAGACTGGAGTCACAAAAGGGTAATGTGCCTAATGAGCAGACGCAAAGAGCTCTAAATACTTCCTTGTCTCCAGTCCTTCAGCCTGTGCAACCTTGGATGTGAAAGCATGCTCCTTGTCTGTTTGTTCCAAATCCCAATTCTGGCTTGAGTCTGATGCTTCACTCCATGCTGCCTCGGATGAGGACAGAGCTTTCAGCCCTATCATCTGCTCTCCAGGGAGGAATTCAGACTTCCACAGGACACCTTCCTCTCAGATACCCCATCCAGGTGAGTCCAACACCCCAACTGACTGTTGATGACAGGGTCAGAGAGAATGGAAGCCAAGAACATTGACCAGTCATCACCTGAGAGCCAATTCAACCTAGCCCAGAGCAGAAGATCTCTGTGTTTGTTTGTTTGACTGATTAATTTATTCAGTGCTAATGTCAGTTTCTCAGAGTGACTGCTACTCACACTTTTGAAGGTCTTTCATATTCTTTATCATTAAACTGCTATTATTACAATGCTAGAAAAAATGTGTTGAGATTGTTAAACTCAATGTGTGATTCTAATCCAGTGTGATTTTGTTCCTTGAGGGTCACTGATCACAGTCAGAAGCCAGCTTTGCCTGTCACAGGGGAAATGGGTGCATGGGGGTAATGTCTAAACACCCTATAAGGCACCCCGCCCCAGGACAGGATCTGTCCAGAATGTCCATGGCGCAGAGACAGAGAAACCACAAGGTTAAAAAAAAAAAATAACCAGTATTTGGAACACAGCTGTCTTCAGGTTCTGACTTCAATCTTGTAACAACTTACTTTTCTACCAGCAAATTCACAGTAACCCCTTGGCCACCAGTTTAAAATTTCCAACCACAAAGAATGTAACTGCTCTATAAGTTTGTTCCCCAGGCTGCTGGTGATAGAGATGTTTCTTGCTGTTCTTAAAGTATCCCTCAGTTTCAGCCAACTTCATGTATTTGATGACCATTCTCATTGATTTTTATTACTATATGCCTATATGTTATTCTCTTTCTCCCTCTTTTATTTTTAAAACACTATCAGCATTTTAAATTATTTCTTCAGATCTTTATTTCTCAATTGACTTTTGGAACATATTTTCACCATAAAAATTTGACATTTTATTTAAATGTGTCTACCTACTTACTTCTGATTTTCTTGTTATATTTAAGTGGTTTTGCCCGACTGCAATTTTTGTGTGTAGTTTTATTAATGTTCTAATATAAGCTATGGTTACAGTAATACCAAGGCCATAATCCTCTGACCTTTAGTAAGATCTGAGAGGGGACTGATTTCATATTCTTCCAAACAGATATTTTTTTAATTTCTTTTCAGTGTAACAGAATTCATTCAAACAGATATTCTTTTATGCCAATATTTATTTAGCAATTCAACCTTGTCCAACAAAATAGAAATACAACATTGCCATATGGTAAATGTCCTTATACAATGAGACCTAATTCCTGACACATATAACAAATAAAAACTGAGGATCTGCCATAAGCCAGAACATTCTAGGAATATTACATGCTATATTCTTCATATATAAGCTTTTTACAATTTAGTTATTAATCCACACTGCTATCATTGATTATTGCTATTTTATATCCCATTTCAGTTCATTTTGGTTTTACATAAAAATTTCCCTAGGACAGGTGTTTTGAAACTATTCATTTTACATTTTAACCTAGTTTTGGTTAACCTAGTTAAATGTAGTTTAACCTAGTTTTTTCATTCTCTAACTTTTTACATTCTTAGGTCTTTTTATATTAAGCACATATGTTCACCAAACTTGGTGAAAAAAAAACAAAAGTGAGCCAGGAAGGTAAAGTCCATGCACTTTTGAATCATGTCTCATAACAGTGAGGACAGCACAATGAAATAAATGTATGATATGATGCCCACAGACAGAAGATCTGAAGCAAATTATTGAGTACAAAATGATAGAATTGTCATGGTGTGGGCAGGATTATAGAGCATGGTCTGTGGACCCTTTTGCATGTTGGATGAAATCCAGTTTGAGGATTAGAGTGGGCACATTGGGTTTGTCAAAGGATAGAAAAATACCTAAAGCCCAAGAATGTCAATAAAAAGATGCCACATAAAACTCTGAAATAGGTGTCTGCCACTGAGTGCAGCAGATCTGAAGATATTTCCTGGATGTGGACTGTAATTTTTCAAAAGCCACAGTGTGACAGAAGCACTGTATGGATTTGTTGAAAAATGTTTGGGAGATTGACTCTTCCAAAACTGCTTTTTACTAGCATCCTTGGAATTGCTGGAAGGGTGTATATTTATCAACTAATATTGGAACAATATTACCAAGATCAGATGGAATTAAAAGAAAAGTTGAAATTCGCATAAGAATCAAAAGAGAAGAAAAGTTAATACTACATGGAGATGAACTGTAATTGTTTAAAAATCTACTGAAATTATACATTGATTATAAATAATCTAGTAGATCGGGAATACTGAAAAGAAATTTTTAAAAAATAAATAAAAATGTTTTAAAAAAATAATCTAGTAGAAAGTTAAAAAAAAAAAAAAGATGCCACATAAGAGAAGGGAGAAAGGGGCTAACCTCATCTCCTATAAGACCACATATAAAATAGTTAGGCAAATAATGATGCAGGAGGTACAGGGAAAATAAGTCTTCTATGCTTGATATAAAAATCTCCAACTTTTGTTGTTTTGTGTACCTTTCCTTTTGGGAAGTGTTGGTTTATCCCGTTGCTAATTTGAGGGGGGTGTACATATATATCACATCCAATTAGAACCACGCATTGAGTTTAACAATCTCAACATACTTTTTCTAACATTGTAACAATAGCAATTTAATGATAAGGAATATGAAAGACCTTCAAAAGCGTGAGTAGCAGTCACTCTGTGAAACTGACATTAGCACTGAATAAATTAATGAATTATATATATACACATATACATAAATATATATTTTTATATATTATTTGTCCATAGGAGGCTTAAGAATTGGCATTTTTACAATTTGTAGGGGAAAGTCACTAATCTGGCCTACTTGCATTGGATCCATTCCTAGCATAACCAGGATGGTCGGGGCTGAGAAAGGGGAATAACACAACCCAGAAGACCATGGTGTCCTCTGTGTTTATGACTTGTAGAGTGTGAGCAGTCCCCACAAAAGGGTGCCAAGATTCATAACTCCCAAGGTTACACAATACAGGGGCCAGAACTGAATCAAGAGAGGACCCTAAGAAGGAGATCTTGTTCAATTAATTGGATGCCTTTGCAATACGATGAATACAGTGGGAGGAGTGGGAGAGGCAGTGTGGACATGGATATCCCTGTGCCTTGAGGGTTCAGAGGTAGAGACGCCACTTTCCTCCTCAGCACGTCTGACGACATCTCTCCTCAGTCTCCCTCCTGCTCATTCCCCCTGCAGCACTGACTTTGCTCCTTTGACTTGAACTTTGGAAACTTGAACCTTCTTTGAGGATTTTGCACTGGCCATTCCCTCTGATGGACACACACTTCCCCCATATTCCTTCATCTATCCCTCTGTCTTACTTGAGATCTATATTCCAGTATCACCTTTGCAGAATGTCTTATATACCCAGGAAAACAGCATGCCCTAGTCACACTATGCTTTACCCCTGCTTTCATTTTCTTCATACCACCTGCCACCATCTGAAATGCTTTTTAATTTTCTTATTTGTTAATGTATTTTTTTCTACATCAGTGAATACTAAGGATTTTTATTCTTTACCACCCCATAGTCCTTGCCTAGACAATGCCTAAAATGTGGACACCACTCAATTTATGTTTGGGGAAAAAGTAAGTAGAACAAAAATTCCAAAACTATGGGGGTATAGAGGTTCCCCTGAAGTGTACCATATCTATGCACAACATATTAAAGTGAATTTCTAGAATATAAAATTTTAAAAGTAGCATTTAAAAACTGAGAGTAATACAAGATTCTGTGAAAATTAGTCATGCTATTTGTTTCTGTCCTTGAAGTCACCTCTACCACATGGAACCAGGAAATGATACACAAATTTCAGAGTTTCACCTTCTGGGCTTATCTGAGGACCCAGAACTGCAGCCCCTCGTATTTGGGCTTTTCCTCTCCATGTACCTGATCACTGTGTTTGGAAACCTGCTCATCATCTTGGCCATCAGTTCAGACTCCCACCTCCACACCCCCATGTACTTTTTCCTTGACAACCTGTCCTTTGTTGACATCTGTTTCACCTCCACCATCATCCCCAAGATGCTGTGGAACATCCAGACTCAAAGCAAGGTCATAACCTATGCAGACTGCCTCACGCAGATTTATTTTCTCATACTCTTTGCTGTGTCAGACATCTTCCTCCTGAGTGTGATGGCCTATGACAGGTTCGTGGCCATCTGTCACCCCCTGCACTACACGGTCATCATGAATCCCTGGCTCTGTGGCCTACTGGTTCTGGTGTCCTGGATCATTTCTATCCTGAATTCCTTGCTACATAGTTTAATGATGTTACAGCTTTCCTTCTGTGCACATGTCCAAATCCCCCACTTCTTTTGTGAACTCAATCAGATGATCCAACTTGCCTGTTCTGACACCTTTCTTAATAACTTGGTGATGTATTTTGCAGCTGTCCTACTGTGTGGTGGTCCTTTTGCTGGGATCCTTTACTCTTATTCTAAGATTGTTTCTGCCATATGTAGAATATCATCAGCTCAAGGCAAGTATAAAGCATTTTCCACCTGTGCATCTCACCTCTCTGTTGTCTCCTTATTTTATTGTACAATGCTTGGTGTGTACCTTAGCTCTGCTGCTCCCCAGAACTCCCACTCAAGTGCAGTGGTCTCCGTGATGTACACCGTGGTCACACCTATGTTGAACCCCTTCATCTATAGCCTGAGGAACAAAGATATTAAGAGGGCTCTGAAAGCAATCACTGGTGTTCCAGTGATGTAACAGCCAATCATCCTGGGGCTGAGGAAGTGCCCATGATTGCAGGGTTCACAATCTCAGAACCAGGAACTGATATTCGTTGATCAGACTTTGGAGGTAGAATTGGCTCCTTCTATTTATTTCCTGGAATTTCCATTTGTTTGAATTCAACTTCTCTGTATATTTAAGTAACTCACTTTATTAACCTTCTGCTCTATCTGATATACAGTTTCCCCTCTGTCCATAATATATTTTTCCACGTTTTTCTCCACCCTTGATCAAAAATACTTGGAAATTCTCATTTATGTCGTGGAGTACCACGAATTTCCTAAAAATAGTTTCTCCTTGGGTCACCAGGATGCCTCAGTCAGTTAAGCATCTTCCTTTGCCTCAAGTCATGATCCCAGAGCCCTGGGATTGAGCCCTATGTTGGGCTCCCTGCTTGGTGGGGAGTCTTCTTGTCTCTCTCCCTCTGTCTGCTGCTCCCCCTCCTTGTGCTCACTCTCTCATCTCACCCTCTCTTTCCCTCTGTCAATAAATGAATTTTAAAAATCTTTAAAAGAAGAATACTTTCTATTTAAAGAACATATATCATCCCAAGTAATTTTCTCTTATTTTAAAAAAGAATAGTCATGATTCATGTTATTCATACAGAAAAAATACTAGTTTGATAACTATGGTCATTTATATAATCTTATAATAAAGGAAAGTATGAGATCCCAGTTTTTTCTCTTTTGTGTATATCAAAACTTTGTATATCACTGCCTCACTGCTCATCCTGACAATGTAGACAAACTTATAGTTTGTCCTATAGGTAGTCACTGAGTTCCAGTCTCCTTATTGGGATCTTGTTCTCCCACCCAGCTATGTTCATTGTGCCTACCGCAGTGATGGGCAAAATGAATACCAAGTACATGTCTCCAAGTGGAGTCTACACAGAAACACATATTAGAATAAATAACTTCATATGGCCTTTGAGTCAGGGAAGATCTTAAATACAATGAAGAAAAATTGAAATTATACTTTGTATTACTAAGCAGAGTATTTCATTTTATGTTGCCATAAAACACTCATACTCACTGAAGTATGCAGTTTGACATCCATGTACAAGAATTGGCTTCACCCTTTGTGGTAAATAATTGGTTGGCATGTTTATGATGTTTTACTGACTCATCCTCCTCTTTCTGCTGCATAGAAATAGGACTACTTTCTCCCTTCTAAATGAAATATTTCCTCTTTTCTAAATTTTGTCATAACCATAAAATGGGAAATGATTGAATAAAATCAATATCATCCATTATATATCATCCATAAATACCTTCAGGATCAAAGGATGATTCATTAGAGAGACAATTCCTGTCCAGTCATGTGATTCAGGTAACAACCTTTGTGCAAAGAGGCATCTCCTTTCAGCTTATCTTGGTGACCTGGAAGGTACTCTAACAAAGCCTGTCTTCATTTCAGCCACCTGAAATAAATATAGAGAAACACTTTGTTGAATCCAAAGGAAACATTCAAGGTTAGGAGTGTGAGTATGTATGTTTGTGTGTACTTGTATACATCTTTTTCTAAAATGAACACATTCACACAATTTATGTAGACATATAGAGAATTATTTAAATCTCATCTACTGTATTGAAAGAAAATCTAAAAAAGGGAGAGGATACAAATCCAAAGAATAAACATTTGAATCAACATGAAATAAGAAGAATGTAGAATTTTGACACAAACATTTAAAGTAGAATGAGTAACCTTAATTTTAATAAGGAATTATTTATCTCAAAATTTCAAGGACCTCAGATTCCAAACCACATTTACATTTATGCAGTGGGAAATCACTCCAGGTAATGGCGCAGAATAGCTCCAAACATAAACTGATTTTCTCCACTTAAGGTGAAATTTCACTACCAAATGCCTTTACCCAAGAGAAGTTCACTAAATGAGTTGAAAGGCTCAAACTCCATTCCTAGAAAAAATATTTTTCTGAACAAATGTATTCAATTCCTGTTGTAATTAATGACCACATGAGTGGCTTAAAACAATGATTTATCTTATTTCTAGAAGGTCATAAGCCTGAAATAGATCTCATCAGGCTACAAGTAAGAAGTCTGCAGGGCTGCGATCCTTCTGGACACTCTAGAGGAGAACGGACTCTCTTTCCTATTTCACTTTTCAGTGGCTACCTGCCTTTCTTGTCTTGTGCCTTTCTTCTGTCTTCAAGCCCACAGCACAGAGGCAGAAAATGTATCTCAGATTCCAATACTTAGTCCTCCCTCTTCCACATTTAGAAGACCATTGTGATTGTTCATCATCACTAGCCATCAGGGAGATTCAAATTAAAACCACATTGAGATACCACATTCAACACCAGCTAGAATGGCCAAAATTAGCAAGACCGGAAACAACATGGGTTGGAGGGGATGTGGAGAAAGGGGAATCCTCTTACACT